CATATATATACATACATGCATGCACGCATATATATACATACATGCATACATACATGCATACATACATGCATATATATATACATACATGCATATACATACATGCATATACATACATGCATACATATACATACATGCATATACATACATGCATACATATACATACATACATATATATACATACATGCATATATATACATACATGCATATATATACATACATGCATATATATACATACATGCATATATATACATACATGCATATATATACATGCATACATGCATGCATACATGCATGCATGCATGCATACATGCATACATGCATACATACATGCATACATGCATACATACATGCATACATGCATATATATATACATACATGCATATATATATACATACATGCATACATGCATATATATATACATACATGCATATATATATACATACATGCATATATATATACATACATGCATACATGCATATATATATACATACATGCATACATACATATATATATACATACATGCATACATACATATATATATATATATACATACATGCATACATACATATATATATACATACATGCATACATACATGCATACATACATATATATATACATACATACATACATACATACATATATATAAACAGAGAAAGCAGAGAATAAACCCAAACAGGACTCCAGTCAGCCATCAGGTGAAAAGGAGGAACCCAGACCCAGACCAGTGGTCATTCCGTATGTTGAGGGGGTATCAGAGAAAATGAGACGTTTATTTTCTAAACATAACGTCCCAGTGGCTTTTAAACCCCAAAATACATTACGGCAAAAACTGGTTCATCCCAAAGATCCAGTCCCCCGGCACAAACAGAGTAATGTTGTGTATGCTGTTCAGTGTCAGGAGGGCTGTGATCATTCTTACATCGGGGAAACTAAACAGCCACTGGCCAAAAGGATGGCCCAGCACAGAAGACCAACATCATCAGGCCAGGACTCTGCGGTCTACACTCATCTCCAGGCCAGCGGTCACTCTTTCAAGGATGAAGATGTTCACATCCTGGACAGAGAGGAACGATGGTTTGAGAGAGGAGTAAAGGAGGCCATCTTTGTGAAAATAAATCGTCCATCATTAAACAGGGGTGGAGGCCTCCGGGTTCAACTGTCCCCCTCTTACAATGCTGTGATTGCTAGTATGACTCAGCCCTCTGTGAACAGTAAACAGCCATCAGTGTGCTAATGACCCATTGTTAGGCTGATGGTCCTTCTTGAGCACGTGATCTGCTGGTTTTGGTTGTCAGCAGCAAACTGGTTGATCCACTCTGTGAAGGTGCTATTTAAGAGACTGAGCTGAAAACAGCACCTCAGACTGAGGAAGTCTCTTGGATGAGAGACGAAACGTTTCTAGATTTTTTTGCTTTGTTTTGTTTTTTGTTTTTTTGAATGTCCAGAGGACCTGACTTAACTTTTTTAGATTTTTCTACCTGGATTATTGAGCATGGATCAGGATGTTAGTGTTCTTTATTCAGAGAATCAACAGGGTCTGTTTATTATAGACGCAGGTTAAATGTTTATTATGAATATTTCTATATAAATATAGACTATAACTATAACTATAACACAGACTGGTAACACTGTCACCACAGTAACAGTGTTACACACATTAATAGTTGTAAACACTCAAAAGAATACACATGTTGGCTTAGAGCTTACCTTTAACCTAAATATTTTAGGAGTAAACATTTTTAATAATCACTTTAAAAGTTATAAATGTTGTCTTTGGTGCCTGTTTGTTTTCCATGTATATTAGTGTGTGTGAATGACAGGTATTAACATAAAACACTTTGTAGAACGGTGCTTTATAAAGTTCAGTACATTTCTTTTATAAGTTGACAGGCAGTTCTGCCACATCCAATATGGCAGCCGCTATGATGTACCGCCGCAACGTGTCCCCCCACTTAACGAGATGTCCACTAAAACTGCCTCACCAGTTCTCTGTTGTGAATGCCTTGGCAGAGATGACAATGTGATGCCAATCAGTGATGGAGAAAGGTCAGGGGAGCTTTGAACCAATAATGATGAATGATTGTTTGAAATGTGTTTAATAGGTTAACTCAAAAATCGCCGATCTGACTCCAAATCCACCCAAATTATCCTCACCCGCTCAAAGTAATTTTTACCCGCAAAATCAGAACGAAAACTGCCCAATCTGGCAACACTGGACACAAAGTACGCTTGGATAGGTAGGACCTAAACCAGTTCAGTGCTGTACTGCTGACACCCCCCATTGTTTCAAATGAAAAAGGAAGATGTCATGGTCCACTGTGTAAAAAGCAACTGATAAATCTAAAAGACAATAACACAGTCACCAGAGTCAATTGCTAAAAATATGACGTTAAAACTTAAGGGCAGTTTTTGTACACAAAGTATAAATCTGAGGAGCATCTTTTGATTCAGGTGTATATTTTTAGCTACACCCACCTTGGACTTTGCTTCAGCCTGGTTGGTCTTCGTTGTGCATTTCCCTTTAGAATGGTCTACGTCCGCCTCCTCTTCTTTGGACCCAGCCTAACAATTTCATAAACACAAACTACTATAAGTAGGGTTCTGGACTTTAACTCAACCGTTGCAGCACTTTAACTCTGTTCTGACTCGTAGATCAGCTGCTGTGTTTGGGATCATGGTCCTGTTGGACCCAGTTTGGTCCAATCTTCAGCTGTTGGACAGATGGACTCACAGCTGACTCCAAAACCTTTTAGTCTACAGAGGAGTTCCTGGTCCACTCAGTGACTGACAGGATCCAAACCATGAGCCCTCCACCACAGTGCTGACAATTGGAAGGAGCTGCTTGCTGCAGTGTATTCTGGGTAAACATCTTTCCTTTGTTCTGGTTCTGATCCAGAGGTCTTGTGGTTCTGTCAGATGAAACTTTACACCTGAGTTGAGCGGCCATCTTGTTTTAGACAGAAGAAGTTTTCTCCTGCAGCCCTTCAAACAAAGCAGACTTGTTCAGTCTGTTTCCAACTGTCCTGCCATGACCTTTGACTGGTGCCTGTAGAGACTGAGATGGAGCTCATTTCTCTGAGCACTGCACAGTCTGACCTTGGGGTCAATCTGTTGTGAAGATTGTTGGTGTCTGACATGTTTTCCACTTGTCTCTGCAGAACTATGGACTCCAGATAGTTTTAAATGACTTTTGACCTCTCTCAGATTGATGACAGTTTCTCTAAACTCATTGCTGAGGTCTTTCCATCTTGGTGTGATTTTAACACACACCTGTGTGCTTGTCTAGAGGTGATCTGATGATCAGTTTGTTTTGGCTTCATGTGATTAAATAAAGACAGAGAAGAGAGGAGTCTGATGTGTGGTTTGGTGAATCATTTTATAATCTGATGATGACTCAGCAGTTTTATTCTGGCCTGCTCTGTAAAGGCCTAAAACTAACAGTGGACTTTCTTTTTCTCGTGACTTTCAGTGATTTGCCGCTGTCTCAACTCTCATCAGTTCTGCACCACACTGCACCAGTTAAGGGCCTGCCCAGTGCTGGTACCCACCCGTACTCAGCCTGGTTTATGGGACCACCTTGTTCGTGGTTCCAAGCGGGCAGCGGTCGTTGATTGGCCAGCAGAGCTACGTCAGCGGATGACCCGCCCAGCTCAACTACAAACTACATCTGAACCTCCACCTCCTCTCCAGTTGTTGCAGAAGGCAGAGTGGGTTTGTACTTTGTTTTTTCTAGAGCAGGAAGCTCCAAAAGTAGAGCTGTGGACCACGGACAAGGTCAGATTGTTGGTGGACCAGAGGATTCAGTGAGACCTGTTACAACGTCCGTCCAGAGCGAGGAAACAAGTCACAGTGGGTTTTCACCTACACCTGAGAACACCAGATGAGAACCGACTTGAGTCGTACTTGTCGATGGCAAAGTAGCTTATGTGTGCACAGTGGCAAAGTTGTGCCATACTGAGCTGAGTGGCACGCAGAGTGCAGCGTGCCTTTGAGCAAGTCATCTTGCAATGCATCCAAGTTCACCATTCTTTATAATCCTCAAGGGGCAGTTTGTTTCACAGTCAGTAGACATAAAACATATAAGACATGAAAACACTGAAATAACAAACATAAATCACCAGTGTTCACTGTGAAGACTGATCTCCACAGGGATCAATGAGTTTCTCAGTCTGTCCCTTCTACATGTGGGCAGCAGATACCTGCGTCCAGATGGAAGCAACCTGAACTCACCATGGAGTGATGATCAGGATCTGCCAGAATCAGCCTGGCCTTGTTCACTGACCTCGCCTTGTGTAGGTCACTGAGGTGATTTAACTTAAAATAACTTGAACAAAAAACTAAGTGAACAAGTGACCTAACAAAACAACGTCTTAGTTCAATTCTTCTGAGACAAAGCGAACACCACAGCTGTGAAAAAAGAAAGCTTTACCCACCTTTACCTTCCTGGACTTGGAGTTCTCCTTCTTCTTCACCCTTTCAACCTCCTGTTTAGAAGACAAACGTTTAGGCTACATCACCGAGGCACAAGAGTTGCTGCAAAAACACAAACTTATTACGCTGCACTTTCTGTGATCTTCCACTGCGCTACAGGTAATGTACTGTAAGCACGGTGGATCAGCGGTTAAGAAGGCTGCAGATTCAATTCTCAGCTGGGCCGTTATGTGTGGAGTTTAAACGTTCTCTCCATGCATGCACGGTTTCTCAGTTATGCCGGTTTCCTCACACAGAACAAAAACATGCATGTTGGGTTACCAGGTAACTCTAGCTTGTCATTAAGTGTGGGTGAGAGCGAGAATGTTTGTCTCTGTGTGTCCCTGTGATTGACTGGACACCTGTCCAGGGTGTCCCCCACCTCTCACACAGTGGTGGCTGGACATGGACACCAGTGACCCCCGCGACCCGAAAAGGAAGAACTGGGTAAAGATAATGGTTGTTGGAGTCAACCCTGCTTGTTAGCAAAAACATCTCATGATCCGCTGGATGGATTGTACTGTAACAAGCCGGACTGCTGAGCATTGCAGATCGCGCATGACATTACGTTCAAGGTTGGATCAAATCTGCCAACCTACCTCTTTTGTAGGTTTATCTTCATCATCCAAATCTTCTTCCTCGTCTTCATCACTCTGACCTTGGCTGAGAGCAGCAAAGATGTTCCCACCCTGATGGACAAACATCAATGTGTGAATATCCTGGTGCATGCTCAATAATCCAGGAGAAAAATCTAAAAAAGTTCAATCTGGTCCTCTGGACATTCAAAAATACAAAAAACAAAACAAAGCAAAAAAATGTAGATACGTTTCGTCTTTCATCCGAAAGACTTCCTCAGTCTGAGGTGCTGTATTCAGCTCAGTCTCTTAGGGTGCATTCACACCAGCCCTGTTTAGTCCGCTTTAATCAAACTCTAGCTCGTTTTCTTAGAAAGCCCGGTTCGTTTGGGGAGGTGTGAATGCACCATAGAAACTCTGTCACGGAATAAAAAGGTGAACTCTGGCCCGGGCTAAAACCTAGGTCTCGGTCCGGTAGAAGAGAACTCCAGCGTGGTTCGAGTACAGTGTGAATGTAATCAGACCGGGCCCCGCTCCACAAGCAAGAAGTGGAGCACAGTGCAGGACAAACAAACACGCATTTCTCTTACCTTATATGGAGCCATCAGCTGCCTTGTGTGAAAACCAATATTCTCCATGGTCTTCTGTCTCATCTTTTATCTCATACTGAGTCCATTTTTGAAAAATTACAAAATATAACTCCTAAAACTGCTAAAACTTGATGCCACTCTCCGTTTTTGTTTTTATTTCCAGAAGAAGAAGTGTCTTCAGAGGTTTTTGTGTTGTTTCTTTCAGTAGTTCTTGGTGCAGCGCCCCCACAGGCGAGCGAGGGAATAGGTTGGTTCAACAGGTTGGCTCGACTGCACAGTGCAGTGTGAATGCAAACGCACCAGCTCAAATGTAAACAAAATGTCATGAATATTGGTCCCCAACCGAACCGAGTCTACCAGAATATCAGGTGTGAAAACAACCTTAAATAGCACCTTCTCAAAGTGGATCAACCAGTTTTCTGCAGACAACCAAAATCAGCTGCTCACATGGTCAAGAAGGACCATTTTCTTTACCTAAATAACGATAAAACTGAATGGATTTTATTTGGTGCTTCCAGTAATTCATGCAACATCTCTCCCAGTCTAGGTTTTCCGCTCCCCCACACCAACCAGGTGGTAAAAAAAAATCTAGGAGTGGAGATTGAGTGTAACTTAAAGTTAGATAAACAGATCAGTTCTGTTGTGAAA